AATCGCCGCCATCGGCGTACCTCCTGAACCGAGGACCCGGCTGGATGGTAAACCACATGAACCCCACCGTATTGTGTGTGAATTATGACTTTTCATCCCTTAATCCTTCACCTTTTAGAGCCACAGCCACTCCCAATGGAAATAACTCAAAAGATGCCAACTTCGAATAAGAGGACTTACCTTTCATGCCTCCCACCACTGCTCTGCGCACCACCTGCCTTCCAGGTATGCCCCGGAATCTATGTTCCCAGAGTGATCCGTGAACAACTCGATACCACCCGCAAAGGCTCCAGAAGTAGCCTTCGCCATGAAATGGCTACCGACCCAGTCCTCGCGACTAACCTGACATGCAACTTGAAACTGCCTTATGAACAACTGCGATTTCTCAGTGACCTTCTTGGACCTGCGAACCTTCAGCCTGAACTCCCGAAGTGCAGTCAACTGAACCCCAGGCAATCGACAGTCTCCTACCACTGAAACAATTTCCAGCCCAAGCAAAGACGTGTGGTAGGATTCCCGCGACCGTAAGGTATGTCCACAACGGCCCGGCCCAGCCCAGCCCAGCCGAGCCCACACAGCAAGCTATCTTACAAATAATGTACTAAGGAACCCCTTTCTGATTCCTCTTTCACCTCCCACTCCCAGACGGATCCAACTTCCCGAAGTAGGAACATGAATGGAACTGCCCCTTGGCAAGTAGAGGTTACCAATAGGAACCTGCAAACATGCAATCCAAAAGATGGAAGGGTCGCCAATAATTGAACGCGTCCTGTTCCCCCAAACCAACTCGACGGCAAGGCCGAATGATGCCAACAATACAGAACAGTTCCGCGGCGATGTCCTCATTTACCGATGCCCCATTCGGATGCGATAAGTTTTGTATCGGACGGAATTTGCCCGCCCATTTCTAGGGGACCACCCCCCATGGATACACCCACAGGTCCGCTAATGGCGCGGATGTAACGGACCCGCCATCCCCCCAATTGGGCTTCCTCGCATGACCACTCGCAAACCAAAGTTCCCCTATAGACTTGATATTCGCCCACCACTTTTCCTGGTCCCTCGACTTTGAATGGAATAGCGTAAACCCCCTCAACAATCCCAGCCATAAAACTAGCGCATTCATGGGAGGCTTACTGCCTTAGCCACAGCAGCAATGCACTGATCATCACCGGTGCCGCTACTAGCTGCAAACACAGGGCTGAAGTCCTGCCGAGTACCCTTCCTGCCTTAGGTTTTCCTTTCTTGACGTGTCAGTTAACACCGTGACTCCCACCGCCTCCGGAACACCCGTATCGAAGCCTACCCGACGGTCCCCAGTTGCACTGACCTTTCTTCTGTCCAGCCAGCACCGCACCTCCTGGGTGTGCGCCGGCAGCCCCCGGAAAGAGCACATTTCCTGCACCATCATTAGGAACCACCCCGTTTAAATCAATGAACTCCTCGAGCGGACGACAGGAATTTTTTTTTTTTTCAAATCCCCTTTATCAAATCTTATCCTCTGCCTTCAAGTGCCCCCCCAATGTCCCCGCGAAGGACACGTGCCCATTTTGTTGCGCCGCGCCTGGAATATTGCCACACATCTAACTGTTCTCCTGCCCCGTCAGATGTCCCCGGTAATGGTACACCATATTCCCCTTCCCTTATCCGGCACGCCGTCACCACCACCCTTACTTCGGCCTCCAGACTGCGCTCTGATGACCCCACCCTTCCGCACCGCGGGGACCTTTTTTCCTTGATCATGACTCTAAAATGATTTTTGAAATTTAAAAAAGTGTGGTGTGTTTATTGACTCACTGACCGAACCCCCTTCTGCCCTGTCCTTCCATCCACCTTGCCAGGCTCTGGTGTATCCGGTGGATGCCGACTCCTGTCCGCGCTGGTACAGCCTCAAGCCCGTAGAAGTAACACTCCTCGACCTGCTCCTCCATCCCTCATCCGACCTCCCGCTGCTGCTGTGCCTGTCATTGTCGTTGCGCTGCTCCCTGCCGTACTCACACCTGCTGATGCTCCTCCTGTGTTCCTGCTCCTGAGAACGCCCCCCAGGGGGCTCCCGCTTGCCTCTGTGCCTTACGTCCATTTCCACCCGTCCATGTCCTCTCTTCTGCCCTCTGCTTGCAGTACCTGGCCTCTCCCAGGCCGCCTCATCCACTTGTGGCCCCTTTAATTAATCCTGGTTGCTGGCCTTCCCCTCCATAGCTGCTCTGCTGTGCCTGTGAAGACTCCGCCTGCTGCTTTCACTATCCCCTTCCTTCACCTCTGACCTGACCCTGGCCCCATCCAGGGCCGCCTCCGTCTGTGTCCCGCCGACCTGGACCCCCCCGCCTGCCCATTGGGGGGGGGGACCGCTTTTACACTGCTGGGCCCTTGCATCATTCCCCCTGTCACTCAGGTATGCCACCAGGGGCAGACTCACCAGGACGCCTCTTGCCGTTCTCCCTGCCTGGCGGCCATCATGTCATGCTGGATTCCGCTGTCCTTTGTGCTTTCCCGCCCCCCCGCCTTATTGCAGGGGGCGCTCTTCCTGTGCGGCCTCATCCTGACCTGCCGTCTTGCCTGACTGGCGCCGCATCGAACATACGGCGCCAGCCGCCCTCCAACTCCTGCCTGCTTTCCGACCTCATTTTCAGCCTTCCCCTTGCCGCCTCCTGACAGGCTCACGGGCTGCCGAACTAACGATGTCACTCACAGGCTGCCGCTGGGGCGGCCTTGCCCTCCTTGCTGGCCTCTGTTCCACCTCTGCATGGGGGGGAGGTAGCAGACGTGCTCGGGGCCCCCACCAGCCACGATTCTGCCACAACCTTTGTGACCAGGATGGTGGCTTGCTTGGAGTTCTGTCTGAAGCTGATGGGAGTGAGCATGCAGCAGCAGCAGCTCACTCCAGCCTCTCCTGTACCTCCATGCTGCCTCCTGTCTCAATACTGCGCTGTTCTTCATGCTGCTGATGGGAGTGAGCATGCAGCAGCAGCAGCTCACTCCAGCCTTTCCTGTACCTCCATGCTGTCTCCTGTACCTCCATGCTGCCTCTGTTCTTCTATGCTGCCTCCATGCTGCTGATGGGAGTGATCATGTAGTAGCATCTCACTTTAGCCTCTCCTGTATCTCCATGTTGCCTCCTGTCTCAATACTGCTCTGTTCTTCATGCTGCCTCCATGCTGCCTCTGTTCTTCTATGCTGCCTCCATGCTTCTGCCTTCTCCCTCCAGGGCAGGCAGCTTTCACAACTGACAGGTAAGTTTAGGTTCAGTTAAAATGGCCACTTCATATAATGGCTGGTATAAATACTCCCCTTATGGCTCCACCCTACCCAGCATGCTAGCTGTCACTAAATTCCTGTGGCTGCTATGCCTACCTCCTGGCTCTGTCAAGGCCTATTCCTCTTAGCTGTGCTGAGCCATGGGCTACACAAGTTCAATGGATGCAAGACTTGTGAAGCTGTTATCAAATAAGGGGTCCTATGTTAAAATGTAACGTGACCTGTTAAAATGTTTAAAAAGTTAAAATGTTGTTATAAGTTTGATTGAAATAGCTTTTGATTTCAGTAAATATGCTGCAAACACAACAAATTACAATTTTCAGTTCTTTACAACCTATAAAGTGTTTTGAAACTTACTGTGCGTAATAATTTGTAACAGTGCATTGTAAGTTTTTTATGTTTAAAAAAAAATACTGTTATCATTAGGAGGTTTGTTCAGTAAAATTTGAATTGTACTCTTAATAGTAGATAACATGAGAATTATGCTGACTGTTATTTACATCAATTATTTAGGTAAATGAGAAAAATATAATTTGCATAATAATTTGGAACAGGGTGTAAGACAACCAGAAACCACACATACCTCATCCACATACCCTGCAGTTTATCCTCCTTTACCAACGTTCAGTGTGCACTCTGGAATGCCCGTTTCATCTGTAGTAATATTAAATCAACAGCTATACACGACCTCGTCATCACTAACTCACTCACGATATTGGCACTCACTGAGACCTGTCTAGCCCCCTCTGATACTGCTACTCCCACTTCTTTATGTTTCGGTGGACTACAATTTTCCCACACTCTCAAACTAAACTGTAAAGGAGGTGGTGTAGGCATCCTTCTCTCCCCTCAATCTACTTTTCAACCTATCCTCCCTGCCCATGCCCTTTCCTTTACTTTCTTTGAAGTTCACACTGTCCACCTTTTAAGAATTTAAGAATTGCCATCATCTATCGTCCCCCCCTCACCCCCGGTCACCCTAGACTATTCATTGAACATTTTTCTTCTTGGCTACCACACTTTCTCTCCTCTAGTATTCCCTATTCCCTCCCTCATACTTGGGGACTTTAACATCCCAATCAACAACCTCAACTGCCCTGATGCCTCCAGTCTGCTCTCTGTAACCTCCTCCTTTGGCCTCACGCAGTTGTCTACTTCAGCAACTCATACAACAGGAAACACTCTTGACCTCATCTTCACCAATCTCTGTACCACCTCTAATCTCTCCACTGTTCCATTTCCTTTGTCTGACCACCATCTGCTAACATTTGAAATCAGCATACCTCATACCCAAATTCCACCACCCTCAATTCTCCAATCTTGCAGAAACCGCAACTGCCTTGATCTCCAGCATTTCTCCACCAAACTCCAAACTCTCCTTTTACCCATCTCAAATCTAACTTGCCCTAACTCTGCAACCTCACTTTACAACTCAACACTCTCTTCTCAACTCAAGATCATGGCACCTCCTACAACTAAATGCAGCAAGAGCCCCCAATTACAACCCTGGCACACCAAGCTGACCCGTTACCTTCAAAAATGTTCCAGAACTGCTGAATGTTGCTGGAGAAAGTCTCACTTTGCATCTGACTTCCTCCACTATAAATTTATGCTGCACTTCTACAGCCTGGCTCTTTCCTCTGCAAAGGTAAATTACTTTAACACCCTCATAAGTACACTGTCTCATCAACCCAAACACCTTGATGCTCTTCATTGCCCTTTTACCATCCCTCCTTCTACCATCTTGTCCGCCACAAACTTTGCATCTCACTTCACTGAGACCTCTACAATCAGAGAAGAGATCTCAGTGAAGTGAGATGCAAAGTTTGTGGCGAACAAGGTGGTAGAAGGAGGGATGGTAAAAGGGCAATGAAGAGCATCAAAAGTGTGAAATAGGTGTTTGGATTGATGAGACAGTGTACTTATGAGGGTGTTAAAGTAATTTACTTTTGCAGAGGAAAGAGCCAGGCTGTAGTAGTGCAGCATAAATTTATAGTGGGGGATGTCAGATGCAAAGTGAGACTTTCTCCAGCAACGTTCAGCAGTTCTGGAACATTCTTGAAGGTAACGGGTCAGCTTGGTGTGCCATCAGAGAAGAAATCTCTAATGTCTCTCCTTCCCCTACCAAGACATTACCCAACCCCACTCCCTCCACCATTCTACACTCATTTGCTCCTGACGCAGCAGAACAGGTTTCTGCTCTGCTCCGGTCCTCCCACACCACCACCTGTTACCTTGATCCTGTTCCCTCGTATCTCCCTCTCTTGCTCTTCCTCTCACTAACATTTTCAATCTCTCCCTTACCTCTGGCACATTTCCTTCACCCTTCAAACATGCAACTGTAACCCTGATTCTGAAAAAGCCCAACCTTAACCCCAACTCCCCATCCAACTACCGCACTATCTCGCTACTGCCATTTGCCTCCAAGATCCTCAAGAGAGTTGTGGACACCAGATTGACTGACTTTCTCAAATTCAA